CCCTCCTTTCCCCCCTCCCTGCCCCCCTTCCTTTTCCCCCTCCCTGCCCAGACTTCAGTTCTCCCGTCTTTGTGATGCAGCCTGAGTTCAGGACAAGTCTGGACAATGAAGGGCAAAAGGTCGAGTTATTTTTAGACGTGACCCTCTCCTTAAGAAAGCGTATTGTGTCTCCTTTAAGGGCTGTTTGGAGAACGGCTGTCAGGAATGTCTTAAACCCATTAAGGACACAGCATTAAGGTTTCGCAGGGTGAAAAGCAAAATCAGGCTAAAAAAAGCGACTCACAATGTTGCCGGAAATCTGAGATTTTCATTCAGCACAAGGATCAAAATTTATAATCTCTCTGTTTTGTGGCTGCCATTGGATAAATGGACAGTCTTTACCTAGACTTTGGGAGATCAGCTTAAAATCTCTTCACATCTCATCAGAATTACTGAAAATAGTACTTTATGATTCAGTTAGAGTTGCTGTACCTCAGCCAAGTACCCAATGTGTAGGCCAATACTGGAGTTTGAGGGATCCTGTAACTGTACTGTGTTTATTTTATCTTATTTATAATATTTCAAATTTTTAATTCAACGTGAGTACATTGACTTACAGGCAGTTGGGCTGATATTTGTAAGCCAATAATTATACATACGGGTAACAGTAATGTTAGATTACAGTCAATAATACTGCATTGGTTGGTTCCATGATGATGATGATGGTTGGTTCCTTACAGGAATCCTTGCAGAATGTGTCAGGCTGGCGTGGTTACCGGGCGGGGCGGGCTGGGTTGTCAGGGGTGAGTTATGGTGTTTGCTCAGACTGGAGATATTCTGGAGCCCTGCTTCAGTACTGGACATCAGACAAACCAGTCTGGCCGTGCTTAGTGCTGGACATCAGGACAAACCAGTGATATTGTGTGGAGCCCTGCTTCAGGACTGGACATAAGGGCAAACCAGTCTGGCCGGGCTTTGCGCTGGACACCAGTACGTACAGGCCTGTGAAATTGTGTGGAGCTGACATGTACATGTAAGAGGCTGCAACTTTCTGTTATAATCTAAGGTATGTGGTTTCCTCATGGATCTAGCTGTAGCTGTATTGAATTTCATACATGTATATATTAGAGTATGATAAGCCGTGCAGTGAGTGTGAGTGTACTCAACTCTAACACACATTTTTTTTTTGCATTTGAGAAACTTCAGAACATCAGGGGTGTGACTGTCAGACAGTGAACAGAACTGGATTCTGTCCTGTACCACACAGGATAAATGTTGGCGTCATTTTACTGCAATTTTGCTGCCAGCCTAAGAACTGTGTCTTGTTCTTGCATACCACTTAACTTCTGGAGTGTCGTGGGGAGGCTTGATTTTATACTTACATGTATTTGTTATTTATTGACAAACTGTGGCTCTTACCTCTTTGCCTCTGCTTGGACTGTATGGCACAGGAAGCTGCAAGGACAGAGAGAAACGGTCAGTTGGACAAGACATAGATTTATGTACAGTTGTACACATGCATGTGCTGTGTGTGAGGCAGACTCTAATATATGTGTGAGGGCCCAGCCTGTCTGGTTCTATGCCTGAATGGGTTAGGGTTAGGATCAGGCACGGTTTTGGATAGTCTCTATTGTACCCAGAACCATGCCTATCTAGTTCTATGCCTGAATGGGTTAGGGCTAGGATCAGGCACGGTTTTGGATAGTCTCTATTGTACCCAGAACCATGCCTATCTAGTTCTATGCCTGAATGGGTTAGGGTTAGGATCAGGCACGGTTCTGGATAGTCTCTATTGTACCCAGAACTGTGCCTATCTAGTTCTATGCCTGAATGGGTTAGGGTCAGGATCAGGTACAGTTCACAGAGAGAAATGGTCAGTCTGACAGGACATACATTTCATGTGGACAGGTGGACTCTGATATATGTGTGAGGGTATCGTATCCAGAACTGGGCCTGTCTGGATCTATGCCTGAATGTGTGAGGGCTAAGGTTGTTTCTGAACCATGGTTCTGGATAGTCTCTGTGTATCCAAGTACGCAGATTTGCCTCATTGGCACTGAGGTTCTGGATAGGCCTGGAGTATCCAGACCTGTGCCTGAGCATGGTTCTGGATAAAGCACGTTTCTGGATATAAAAGAGAGGGTCTCTATGCTAGGTTGCCATCCTTCAGCAATGACAATGCCAGGCTGCCAAGTTTTTACTCAGGGAAGCAAATGTGTAAGAACAGTTCAGTTCTTCATGGTAACCTTGAAGTTAGCTAGTACACTTTCCGGACCTACCCCAAAGAAAACTCCATTAGGAGACCTGACAACATCAGTTGGAGACCTTACACAGATTACAGTGATACTCATAAAACTTCCACGTAAACAAGAGTTCAGGGCCATTACAAATGTCTGCAGCTAACTCTAACTCAGGCTTCTATATGAGCAGTTAACTGCCATTAAAGTAACCCTTCAGTGTGAATGTCCCATGCAGTCACCCCTCAGTCTGAATGTGTCCTATATGAGCCGTTAACAGCCCTGCAGTCTGCAGTCCCCCCTCGGTGTGAATGACTGTGCTCCCAGCTAACTCAGGCTCCTATATAAGCTGTTAACAGCCATTAAAGTAACCCCTGGGTGTGAATGGTCTCCCGGGCTCCTACATGAGCGTTAACTGCCATGCAGTCTGCAGTGTGCCTCCTCCTGAGGAGGAGGAGGAGGAAGTCTGCAGTCCCCCCTGGGTGTGAATGTGCTCCCAGCTAACTCAGGCTCCTATATGAGCAGTTAGCTGCCCTGCAGTCCTTCGGTGTGAAAGGTCTCCCCGGTTCCTATATGAGCCGTTAGCTGCCCTGCAGTCCTTCGGTGTGAAAGGTCTCCCCGGTTCCTATATGAGCCGTTAGCTGCCCTGCAATCCTTCGGCGTGAAAGGTCTCCCGGATGAGGGATGTTTTCCCGTTTGCTGAGAAAAGGCCCCAGGAATGTCCGGCGTGGCGCTAAGTGGTGCCCGACACTATTTGTGAACCGACCTTGTCCAGCCACAGCCTCACTGTTTGCTCTGGCTGAGGGGGAGGGGTCAAACAGGGTCCCCGACCTCTAACTGGCTGGCTGACCTTTGATTAACCCTCGACCTCTCGCTGGCTGATTGACCTCTGATTAACCTCCGACTTCCCACTGACCTCATCTGAACCCTGAACTGAACATGACAATAAATGTTACCTCATAAAAAAATGGCAAAATGAATTTTTATTATACAAGAATGTAGCTTAGATTGTTCTATGTACTTAACAACAGAAATAAATGTTAACAACAGTTGCCTAGCGACAGAGCAGACCTTGAAGCACAAACACGGTTGCTAGTAGCAACAGAACAGAAGCACTGAACGGAACCAACACCAAAACTAGTTGCCTAGCAACAGCACAGAACAAACACTAGTTGCTTAGCAACACAGGACCATCACCAACACAAGTTGCCTAGCAACAGTTGCCTAGCAACACAGGACCATCACCAACACTTGTTGCTTAGCAACACAGGACCATCACCAACACAAGTTGCCTAGCAACAGTTGCCTAGCAACACAGGACCATCACCATGGCAACACAGCAGCCGCTCCTACTCACCCGGTGGGGGACGCAGCAGTCTGGCTGCAGGGGTGAAAGGTGAAAGGTAAAAGTTCACATTGTCAGTCTTACCTAACGTCCCCCGACCCCGACTGACCCGAGCCCGACTGACCGGCCGTGTTTACAGGCAGTTGCCATGGTAACCAGTGATCTGGTGTCAGATTACGTCTGTCCTGTTTCCTCCTAAGTGTTGGTAGGGATTTGAGAACTGGTGTTACTGAACATTAGTTGCTGTGGACATCGAGCGTGTTACAGAGGCTGTGTGATATACACGCCTGTTACCGTTAGTGTTAGGGTTAGGCCAGGAGGACTGGGCTCATTTAGTTTGTGGCTTCCGTGACTTGCCAGAGAATAGTACAGTTGAAAATATATTAAGTACTTCTGAATCAGTACCTGTAATACAGTATTACCTTTAATACAGTACCACCTGTGATACAGTACTTCCTGCATGCAAGACTTACTTCGTGCCGAGGCTGCGGCTCTTGCGATGTGTGGGCACGAAGCGGGGGTTAGAGGTCGGAGTGCACTGGAGGGACGCCTTCTGGGTCAGAGCCGACTTGCCGTTCACTGGGCGGGAAACAAACATGGCAAAAATAAACAAACAAACAAACAAACAAACAAACAATATTTCCTGCATTCATGCAGAAACAGCATCATACAATCAGCTTGTCTCCTTATTAAGTGGCTAAATGCCAGCAGGCTTCCTTCTGGGATTATCTGGTAGTAGACACAAAGTCTCTTGTAGCAGTGACTATCTGCCTGTGGTGCCCCCTGCAGCTGCCAGGTGGCACTGCACAAGTGTGGCTGCTGATATGGACCACAGTACTATGCAGCACTGTTTACTCCTGACTGGGAAAAGCCTGTAACAGCCCAGCTTTACTCACCTGATAAGTCGTCTTTCGCTGTTCTGTGTAGCCTGCTGTTGCCTGGCTCAATTTTCAGGGACAACCTGGAATACAGAATAACAGACCTTAGCAACCTGAAATACATGTACAGAATAGCAATCTTAGCAACACGCAATACAGAATAACATGTTAGCAACCTGTTGTACAGAATTAGCAACCTGAAATACAGAATAGCGAACCTTATAAACCCAATGTACAGAATAACATATCTTAGCAATGCAATGTACAAAATACCAGTAACATATCAATAAGGCAACCTGAAATAGAGAACATTGTTGTCATTTGAGATCTCATCAACCTGAAACAAAAGTTGGTTTGGTTGAGGAAGGGGGAGGGGGCTGTCTATATCCATGTACCTCACTGGTTTGTAAGGAGTTTGTAATCCCAAAGATCAGACTACAGATCACCCTGTTTGGCAGACGACCACAGTTTAGGAAAGCTATCGCTGCTTCTCTTGTTGGCAGGCAGGGGCTGTTTTGTTCTCTTGTTGGCAGGCAGGGGCTGTTTTGTTCTCTTGTTGGCAGGCAGGGGCTGTTTTGTTCTGTTGTTGGCAGGTAGGGGCTGCTTTGTTCCCAAAAGCACACTTTTGGCTGCGGACCAGAAGTTAGGAAAGGTCCTGTTACTTCTGATGGGTGGCAGCGAGTCCTTTCTTCCGACCAGAGGAAAGGTTTTGCTGGCTTCTGTTGCCGGCTTGTTGCTGCCGAAGTCTTTGTTGTTCAGAGAAATGGTTTGGCTCCGGACCAGGGTTGGATGATGGCTCGAAATACTGGGGAGCTTGGAGCTGTGCACTCAACTTGTTTGTTTCGCATAACCAGTAAACCGCCTTTAGGCGTAACACACCAGTTTTGTACATGTAATTACAAGCTGTGTAAGACCGGACTGTAAGGTTTGAACCACTCACACCGGAAAGGTCCCCTACTCTTTTCGATAAGTGCGGTGGGTTCTTTAATGTGCATGGGGTGTGGCTCTCCCCAAAAACAGCACCTCCATTTAACGTCCTATCCGAGAACTTTTCTCTTTTGGTGCACCAGTGCACCCAAATATTTTCATAGGTTTACATAAAGATTAAGCTATTAATGTGCTCCGGCCCAATTTTATTTCGAGCCTTGGAAGGTTCGAGGAAAGGTTGAATGTTACTTTTGATCACCAGCTTGTTGTTCAGAGGAGAAACAGTTTGGCTCGAGACCAGGGTTGGGAGGTTTCGGGAAGGGTTTTGTTACGTCTGATGGGCGACTTGTAGCTGGCAGAAACTGTTTTGTCCCCACAATACGACTGTTTGGCTCCAGACCAGAGCTTAGTAAGGGTTTTAATGTTCTACATGAGGGTTCACTGACTGCTGGGTGGTGGTGAGTGTTTCCACGTGTGGCAGGAACTACGTACATGTACACACCTGCAACTATGCTACCTGTCCTGTAACACACCTGTAACTGGGCCGAAATGGGTTAGAGTTATGATCAGGTACAGTTTGGAATTTTTTTTCACCTCAAAGTCAAGGCTCACACAAACCACTTACGGTAGTATGTTTTGGGTAACACATTGAGAAACTGGAGAGACATCTTCGTTCACTCTAGACTTGAAAAGTTTAAGTGTACCCATTTGGGAAGCATTCTCAATGAAGCTTGTCCTGTAGATTTGCCCCAGACACGGTTCTGGATAATGCTTGGACTATCCAGAACCGTGCCTTCAAGCATGATTCTATACAAAGCATGGTTCTGGATACACCAGGCGTATATACAGAGCTAGTTCAGTGGTGCTGCCTGTGTCCACATCTCTGACAGTAACTGGGCTTAAAAACGTCACGTCTACTCTAACCAGAGCTGTGAAAGGTAAACTCATTTACAGGCAGTCAGAATAAAGAGTCTTTGATGATTCCCTTTCCTTTGCCAGTTACCCACTGCACTGACCAAACACACAATGTCTTTGTGAGAAGGACTGAGTCAAGTTGTCTCAATGTGTTTGCGGTAAACTTAGGTGGCCAGAAGGAAGACTAATAAAAGCTTTACCTGCCAGTATCCAGGTATTTATAGGTTTAACCAAGGCCTTCAGGGGATGAACTGAATTTAAGTACCCGGAATTTATGAATTGATGACTTTTATGTACCCTGAATTTATGAATTTACATACCCTTTAAATACCCTGGTAATCTACGGGGTTTAACAAAGACCTTGAGCAAAATAAACTGAACTGAACACAGACAAACCTTCTGTGTGAACTCAGTCAACTTAAGCAACAAGAACAAAGCAGCCCAAAGGTGTTTAAGGTTAACTACGGTAGTCAGAATGAAAGGAAGATGTCTTGACCCTTTATATACCAGATCCTCGCTGGACTTACAGAAAACACAAACTTCTTTGTGCGCAGGAAAACATTCGGAGCCAACGTTGCCCGAAGCTGTGTCATCAGGAGATGGTCTCAATCACTGCTTCTCTGTTCCCTAAAAGTCAAACCTGAGCCGCAGGGATGGGCCTGAACTCAGGGGACTGACCCAGGCTGGGTAGAAAGTTTACATAGAATTATTAGTATTAGTTAGTAGATTGCTAAGCCACCAGTCCTTATATACTGCCGTCATGTTTTGCCATGTCATGTCAGCAGGACAAGCCCTTTGCAATAGCCATTAGCAACTTAAGGGCTGCCCTGGCCGTGAGGGTTGAACAGCCAAACCGATAAATAAATAAAATCACTCATGGCTGGAGGGTTTGTAATAATAGTAGTGCATCCTTTGTCTCCACTTTTCTACATACATTTGTTATGTGTCTGTTAAGTCTTGACCTGTACCTAGCCCGTTGTGGCATGAATGTACAATAAAGGTATTTCATATATATATATACAAAAAATAATAATACTCTCCAAGCTGAGGTTTAGGCTTCGGCTTATTTTTGACATCTTTTTAGGCATTTTTTTTATTGGGCTTTCTTTTTTGGACTGGTATCGTTTTTTTGTTTTGCCAGGCAAATGTTGGAGTATTGAATTCTGCCCTGCCTATGTGAAACTGTCTTGTAGCCACCAAATAATGATAATATGCTTGGAGATTAGATGTGTAAACTGCCCAGGTGTAACACTGGTTTGTAAGTGATAAAATCAGCCCACAGGATGTGGTTGAATGTGTGAGGATCTGTTTGTGTTGGTTTGAGGTCTGCACAGGTCATTAGGCCGGCCTGGTGTGCAGTTAGGCGAGAGATGAGTCATCAGTGCAGTCATTATCATAATTATCTGTTACTGAAGGTCTGTGCAGGTATGGCACAGGACTGTACACAGGCTCTATAGTTGATATCATGTCTGCTGTGTGCAGGTATGGTACAGAACTGTGCACAGACTCTATAGTTGATATTACTGGTGTGTCTGTGTGCAGGTATGGTACAGAACTGTGCACAGACTCTATAGTTGATATTACTGGTGTGTCTGTGTGCAGGTATGGTACAGAACTGTGCACAGACTCTATAGTTGATATTACTGGTGTCTGACGATGCATTTACGTGACAATCGGGAACATTTTGTGACTTTTTCAGCGGAAATTTACACGACCTTCAAAGAAACCCTGGCACCCAGTAGGGGTCGGGTTCTAATGACGACTTTAGGGAAGATCTGAGACATTTGTCGTTCCTTACCCCCCAGGTAAGGTCACACCTTAAAGGAACACCGCTCCTCAGGGCTGATGTCTTAATTACAGCTTAACGAACCTCCTCAAGCGTAAGGCTTAATTACAGGTTAAGTAATTGCTCAATGATGACTTAATTGAGGAGGCATGTTGAAGGTCAGGCGAGGTGAGGTTGACTTTGTATCGGCTGTCCCCATTGGACAATGGGCCGCAGCTTCAATAACAGACGTGCTGATTGGTCAGGGGGTTTGGAACAACAAGACTTGAAAAGACAGTGTGCATTGGAGGGCTGGATGTCAGCTGGGGGTTGGACTGGACCTGAACACTGGAGGTTCTTCAGTCTGCAGAACTGGGTACTTATTCTCAAATCTCCAACTTCGCAATTAAGGTAGGTGCATGTACTACTAGGGAAACTAAGTCTTCAAGTCTGACAATACAACATTTAAAGATATGTTGCCTGGCTTGTCTGTTTTCTAGTCATGTTTCCCAGCCCAGGGATTTTGTGCTGTGTCCTTGTGGATCTCTGAACTTGCCTGGAACCACAAACATTCTATTTTTTCTCTCAGACTGCTAGTTTCTCCCATAACCCTCAACACAATGATTCTGGATACCTTCATGTTCATGTACTACATTTGTAATACAATTTGAACAAGGTTCTAACAAAATGTACATCACTGTCGAGGTTTGTCTGCTGGACAAGTCTGAAGCATCTGTTCTCATCAGGCTTTAAAAGCTTGAAAGTACAAATTAATCATTGATCAAAACCACAGGTGAGCTTTCTTCTGTAACTCACCTGGTCTCTCGTTAACACATGTACCTGGCAGGTGTGCATCATACAGGTGTGTACACAACATGTACCTGCCCATTACACGTCCTGCCGTGGTCTCACCTGCACATTAACCTGTACAGGTGACTGTGTACAAAACATTGTACCTGCACAAAAACCAGGTGTTCAACAGGTAATAATCACATGTCCAGGTGTCCAACCTGACATTACCTGCGACACACCTGTAATCAGACAGGCTCAGGGTTACCATGGTGATACCTGCGTGCAGGTAAATTTGTTGGAAACCGTCAGGTGTGTTCAAACGTGAGAATTCAGCCCCGAAACCAGCCCAGAATCGGCCTTCGAGAGCAGAAAGGCGGGAGTTTGGTCTGGGTTTGGTGATTAGACAAATAAACAGGTGTTCTCGTCCAGACAAAGGTGTTTAGTGAGGTGAGACAGGTGAGACAGGTAAGGCGTACCTGCAGGGCTGATCTTATCTCCCGGATCCGATACTTTAACAGCTCAAGTGGTTTAGATTCTTATCAGGACATCAAGAAGTGGGCAAGGCAAGGGGGCGATCAAGTGTGGGGTGGGGGGGCATGCTGCTCAAATGTTCCCATGTACACCTGGCTACACCTGGCAACAGCTGGTTACACCTGGTTACAGCTGGATACACCTGGGGACACCTGGCTACACCTGGTTACACCTGGGGACACCTGGCTACAGCTGGTTACAGCCGGTTACACCTGGAAAAGCTTAAGGCAGTCTGCTCTCCTTCTACCTGTACTTGGGCATGACTATACTTGTCTATCAGATAGTTCGTCTTTTCCTAAACTACTCCTGACCATGACTTGTATATACCAGGTGCTGCCCAGTGTGCTCCATCCATATACATGTACAGTGTAGTACTAGTCTTCTTGATGGTCTACAGATACATGTATCCTGTGCTGTACAATGTATCTACATGTACATTTACAATCCAGACATCCCCCCCCACATCTCCCACACACCTATGCAACATCTGGGCAGATACACAGGTAACCCAGAAAGGTACCCCCACACATACTCAGGTACGCAGACAGGTGCCCCAGACAGGTAACCCAGGGTGGTCTGTTGTACAGGTACCCCTTCACACACACAAAGGTACACAGGTGGTCCAGACAGGTACATTATACACAGGTACCGTACAGGTGCCCCAGACAGGTGGCCCAATGCCCAGGTAAGCTGCCCTCCCACCCGGCGTGTTTTTTGCTATTCTGGCCTTGTGGCCTGTTTTGTTGCTGGTGTTTCCCCACTGCTACACAAACAAAAGCTTTCCTGCTCAACAGTAATGTAAACTGTGCGCAGACAAAAGCTGCTGCTTGGGGGGAAACATGGAGGCAGGGATGCCTTACATATAGAATACAACACAGTGGATTCCATATCGCCCGAGGTACCAGCCCGACCGCGGGTCGGATCAGCAAAAAGGCCGGAGGGAGATCCGATCTGCGGGAGGGCCGGGAAATGCACCTTTCAATGCAAAATGAGCCAAAATTTGGTGTCCCTAAAAGCCTTAAATGCAACAATATCAGATCCAACCTTCGTAATTCTGTATTCGAATTTTCGAAAGCGGCGCACACGGTTAGGGCAAAACGCGTTCTGATGTTGATTATTTCTCTATTGTCCCAAAAGTATCCCAAAGTGACTTTCTAGTTGTCCCGGCCTAAATTTTAGTGGTCAGTGGTCCTACCTGGGAGTAGACATGTGTAAACTGTCTTGAGGTTAATGGTCCTACCTTTAAGCAGTTTTTAGCATCTCGAGTTCCTCCCAAGTTAAGCAGGTTGAAGCCTTAATGGAAACGTCAGACTTTCCTGTAAACACTTTTCTGTTTGGGAGCAGGAAACTTATAACAAACCTTCTGGGACAGGATGGCAGGCAGGGCAGGGAGGGCAGACAGGGCAGGGATGGCAGGCAGGGCAGGGATGGCAGGCAGGGCAGGGATGTTAGACAGGGCAGGGATGGCAGACAGGGCAGGGATGGCAGGCAGGGCAGGGATGGCAGACAGGGCAGGGGAGGGCTGACAGGGCAGGGATGGTACAGAGGGCAGGGGAGGGCACTCATCCTGGGCTTAGGCTGATGGGGTCCTGTCACAGTTTAAGCCTTGTCCTGCTGGCAATTTGATGCAATATTTTTCAATACTTCTATGTCTTAATCAGGTCACAGACCCTTGACTTTTTTTGCCCTGTGGCAGCGTAGTTACTTCAATCTGCATTTGTTGCGTTTCGCCGTGGTATGACGCGTCACACGAGAAACACCCTCAAATCGTATTATACAGGGCGCTATATAGACGGGTTATACTACAAGTATGTATGTGCAAAGAACATTCATGGGCTCTGCAGGACAAGGGTAAGACTTAAGGCTCCAGGTCTTACAGACGGGTCTGAGCTTAAGGTTCTTACCGTAGTTTAGGACAATCTTTAAGACAGTCCTTGAATAAACTCTTCACAGACAGTCTTTGTTTTAATGCAGTTTTTGTGTCGTTACATTTACTCAAAGAAGTTGAGTTTCATTCATCTGTTTTGTCACCTTTGGCCAAGGCCTTTTCACAACCAATTACACAAACTATTATCACTGCAAAGCCCGTCAATGCAGGTAATATGAGAACTTAAGTACTGGTGTCAATGTCCCCTTAACAAAAGGTTATTATTATTAGCACTTAATCACTTAAGTGGGGACGTTTTCAACATATAGTAAAATTCCATCCTTAAAGGAGTACTAACCTCCAGAAGGAGGTGCTATATTCCGACAGGCATTTATTTTTGGAAGTGAAAAATGCATATTATTTTACAGTATACAATTAAATGCCCATTTTGCGCGCAAGTCTTAAAACGCATCGAATCCAGGACAAACTCTCCAAATACCCTCAAAACTATCCCAGAATACACCACGCTACCCCATTGGTGTCTATGTTTTAAACAAAAAGTTACGTTACAGACCTCTTTTCGGGGGCGATAAGAAGAATTCGTACCGTTCGGTGTTCTTTTGTATCTTACCAACCATTCCCCTTCTTGGTGTCCTTATCGCCCCTCATTTATGCCGCAAATATTGACGATGAAAAAACGGACGTAATCTAGTTATCCTTTCCATAAGTGGCGTAATCTAATTATCTGTTCAAGTAATACTTACATGCTAATAAGTTGAGAAAATCAAAACACGCAGCGTGAAACTGGCGCTCACTGTATTCGACATCCTGATATTATAATATCCAAGCCACAGGTCAAGCAAAGTAAAGCAAGTAATTTCTCAATAATCAGCTTGTTAGTGTGCTTGTCTCCTACCATTTTCGCCGAAAAATGTTTATGTTGACCTGAAGTGTATGAGTATTGCGTAAGCCAGAGTTCCCGGATGTATCAATTGTGGTTCAGCATGGGGAAATCATATTAATATCACTTTACAAACATGCGCCGCGCAACTCGTACAAGCGAAATTATGTAAAAAGTCGGCTAGTTATGTATTCATTGCAGCATGATGTATCGGGAAATAGCACTTCCTTCTGGAGGTTAGTACTCCTTTAACTAAACATCGCAAACTTGTTTATGAATCCCAGAGATTTTGCAAACTATAACCAATTCTTAGGAGACAGGTATTTCTCACCTTGTAAAAAGAAATACCTGTCTCCTAAGTTATACCAACCTGATGAAATTATTTTTGGAAATATAACAATAATGTGTAAATCTCTCTGGCATTGTGGTCTTCAAAACCAGAGGTTACCGACTGTGAGTTTATTCTACACCCCGCCCCCCCCCCCCCCCCATCCAGGCAGAGCAGCTGATTTTCAGTTTTGTGGGAAGCGTTTATTCTGTAAATCTTGAGATTTTCCGCAGACACGGGTGACTTCAGCTGTTTGTGTCACAAATCCCGCCGATTTCCACCCAAATCGAGCCACTTTTTGTTGCCCAAACCCTCGATATGGCCGCTTTAACTATAATCACCCAATCACGACACAAAAAACAACAATTTCCGGGCGTTTTACGGACCCAACAAAAGAACAGGTTTATAACAACAGCTGCTGGGGGCTGCACAATTTGACCTTGGAGGGCAAGGTCGCCAGTTCTATTCTTTAAGTTGAACCCACACAGAAATATTCCGTCTGAAATAACTGCCAATTTCCTGACTGACATTCATAATGGGCTCCTGCAGGTTTTTATAAATTCACGTCCAAAAAGATAAGACAGTTAAAAAAAGAGCACTTTCGCGTCAAGGCAAGGCTCGACCTTGAACGTCCTTCAGCCGAGGTCACATTGTGGTTTGCTTGGCTCTGCAACATTTCAGATCAGTTTACAGTTAGTTTACTGCTGCACTGTTTATTTTTCACATTAACACCTGGGGAAGCTAGACAGACGCTACACCAGGGACAAGACTGCCTAAAAGTGGTTCAGAATCTGAGTGTTGGGGGGGGACAGTTTCTGTGCACTAAATTTCAAGACCTGCATGAAAACTTCAGAATAGCACAGTTTTCTGGAAAACTGCAGTCTGAGACAGAGATTTTACAATTCCCCGACTTATAAAACCTAGAACCAAGTGGAAGTTTTCCTTCAGTCTGCAAACTTTACTCCACTGAGACCTAATTTACTGCCACAAATGCTGTACACTAGCTTTGTATGCTAGCATAGTTGCTAAAACTCCACAGCTCCATGTAGCTCTGTAGCCTGGTTACCAAACCTATTATAGCTTCCAAGTCCAACATCCTCTCCGCAAATAGGTAGGACTCGGCAGCTATAATAGGTTTGGCAACCAGGCTAGTAGCTTTACTGGCTGCCAACATTTTTAGCTGCTGAAATAATGCAGATCTGGTGCAGGGACACAGCCATGGGGGCAGGGCTTGGGTCGGGGATCAGAGCCGGATATTTCTGCTTGGAGGGGATCAAAGTATCACTGGGCTGGTGGGAAGGGCTGGTGGCACGGGTACATTGCCCTATCTGACAGCCCTTCACCCTGCCCAGTTAGACATGTACATCAGAGGTTCTTAAATGATCAATCCCCTCGGAAAACTTGTGGCAGTAACTCAGTACTGGGTTAAGATGACTTGTACCTGTCTAGTCTTAAAATTTACCTTAAGTTCAACTTAGTACTACGTGTACAGTAGTTCTTTCAGTTGTCCGTTGTTTTACTTACTTGTAGTTGTCGTCTTCCACAAACTTCTCCAGCTCTTCGATGTAGTGCACGGATCGCAGGTAGTTCTGCACATGCCCCAGGACTGGCAGGTGGTCTGGGGGATAATCAATAACCAACCAATCAATCAATCAATCAATCAATCAACCTATCAATCAATCAACCTATCAATCTATAAAAATATGTCAATCTATCTATCGCCTAACATTATGTAATGCAAGTTTATGGTGTTCTACATGTTTGACTACAACGAAATGGTCTGGTCACCAATTATGGTAACCATGTAAATGTTAGGTTACCATGGAAATGTTAGGTAACCATGGAAACGTACCGTAGCTGGACTGCTGGTACTCGGAGATGATTCTGCAGATGTTGTTCATCTTTGTTCTCCTCTGGTCGCTCTCCAGACCGCCGGAGTGCGGATGGGCCGCGTTGATGTACGTCAGGTCCGTCAGGTACATACCTGTACACAAACAAACAAACAAACACATGGTCAGGTCCGTCAGGTACATACCTGTTAACAAACAAACAAATAAACAAACACATGGTCAGGTCCGTCAGTTACATACCTGTAAACATACAAACAAACTGATAAACACATACTATCATGAAAGTTCATCTGTGTTGGAAGATACATGTTTAGAGTTAAAACTTTAGGTCCGACACAAAACGCTCTGTCACCTAGAGCTTTCGACCAGTCACTCTGGTCTTCCTCAGTAGACTGACCCAGTGAAGCTTGTCACAAAAAAAAACTTGGCTTGAAGTTCTTTGTCTTGTGCTTACACTTCAAAGAAGCCACGTGACAAGCTTCACTGGGTCAGTCTACTGAGGAAGACCAGAGTGACTGGTCGAAAGCTCTAGGTGAGAGAACTTTTTGTGTCGGACCTAAAGTTTTAACTCTAAACAAACAACAAACATGTTGTGATGTCCATCTTTTAAGCACCCCGTATCTCCTGTGTCTCCAACTGCCCAGCTAGCCAGGCAGCTGTAGTGTGTATTTCCCACCTTGTCTGCCTGCCGGGCGGTCAGGCATCTCGGGTTAACAAGGTTAAAACCTCGGGTGAGGAGGGTTAACGTCTTCCCACTGAAGGATGGAGTCTCTCAGTAGGGTGGAAAAATGCCCCACATTCCCCCAGCCAGGGTGGGAGGTAATTTAAAAGGTAAACTAAGGTAAAGGTAGTCCTGTAGCCTTTGTCAGGCCTTAGGGGCAATGAACTGAACTGTGTCTAGAGCCCATCCCCTTCCTTTCACTGCCTTTTACCTCCCCAACCGAAGTCAGGTACACATTATACATACTAGCTGTTACAGTGACCTTATGAGTCTTTTAACTGTTTTTTTCCCGTTACTTCACAAGTCATTGTGATTAATTATGTTGCTTTGAGCTCTCAGTTCTTTTAGTGACCTTGAAAAAGAGTGTTGAATGTCACTCGAAACGTCCGGAAGTTATCTCCGTAATTTATCCAGTGGAAGAGTTTGATTTGTCTTTGAACATTTTACACCTGGGTGGAGTGAGGAAAGTCGTGTTAAGTGCCTTTCCCAAGGACGTACACAACAGGAATGCCAGGAATCAAACTCACGTCCGCTAGCCTGACTATTCGTCCATCTGATGCCCCTGATCTATGTGTGTGTTCTGTGTTAAACCTACCGGTACCCTGCCTATGTGTGTCCTGTGCTAAACCTGCCGTGCCTGACCACCAACATGAGAGATGTAACATTAACTACGTCCCTCTCCAAGCTCAGTCACGCGTCTCAGGTTAAAAGGGTTAAACTCAGACCTTTGGTGTGGAACTGAGCAGGGAATGGAACCATAAGGGCAAGGACATCATTCTGTTGTATCCAGAATAGTTCCCTTTATTCAGAACTAGGCTCTGTCTCTGAGGCACAGTTCTGGACAAATCTACGTTTCTGGATATGCATAGACTATCCAGAACCTAATCCTAACCCAGTCAGGCATAGAACTAGATAGGCACAGTCCTGGGTACAATAGAGAGTATCCAGAACCGTGCCTGATCCTAACCCTAACCCATTCAGACATAGAACTACATGTAGATAGCATGGTTCTGGACCATCTGTACCAGGCAGCTGCAGTATACCTCTGTCCCCACAGCCCCTCGCAAAGCTCCCTCCGGTATCTCGGGTTAAAAAAGTTAAAAACTGCCCACTGAAGGACGCAGTCTGTCCTCAACAGGGTGGAAACTATGTGTTAAATGCATGTTGTGAAAAATAAACACTGTATTTCCTGTGTGCTGAACCTGCCAAGCTATCAGCAACAAACTCTAAATTTCACCAAGATTTCAGCAACAAACTCTAAATTTTGCCAAAATTTGAGCAACAAACTTTTAAATTTCACAAAGCTATCAGGAACAAACTTTACAATTTAGCACTTAATTATCAGGAACAAACTTTGAACAGCCATTTAATGTCTTGGTCCAGGAACAAACTTTTACATTTCACCAAGATATAAGTAACTAACTTAAGTTTAAACTCTGTCAAGATATCGGAAATAAACTTAAGTTTACAACTTAGCACTTACATGTAGCTATCAGGAACCAACTTTACAATTAAGCAAAGATACTGTGAACAAACTTTAAATTCAGGCAAAATATCGGAAATAAAGTTTACAATTTAAATAAAGTACTTAGCTATTAGAAACCACATTAGGTTTACAATAAACAAAAATACTGGGAAGAAACATACGTCTAACACATCTACTCAGCCATCGAGAACAAAAAATGTCATTCCCTTAAAGTTTGTATTTGGTTCTAGACCATACGAGTTGCACTTACTGTCTACTAATTACCATATAAAATACTTAGTCTATAAAAATCCCTCTGAAATATCAATGTCCAACAGGACAGACGCTCAGGTACAACAGACTCTTCTCTTCAGTCTGCTTTTGCTGCTGCTTCATCTGGACCATAAATAAATGTACCTGACAGAAAAGCCATCAAACCTAATGAAAGTAATGTTACTGGTTTGTCAACCTGAAGCTGGAAAAATAAACACAGTTCTGTGGTGCATGGGTCCCGGAGAGAAGCTGGTGTGCCCAGCAGGCGTTTGTCTGTCAGCAGCTACCAATAATCCTGCCTACATCACACTGTCAGGATCCTCTTGGTCTGTCTGCAGGAATTTTTGTCCCACCTGTTCCAAACCTTACAGAAGGTTTGGGACACTCAGGGGGGACAGAAATTCCTGCCGACAGACAGATCCCCTGTCCCAAGTTTAAACCTTACAGAGTTCTACATCAGGGCAGGTCCCACCTGCATAATGGTATCCTCTCTATCTGTCTGCAGGAATTTCTGTCCCACCTGTTCCAAACCTTACAGAGTTATATCATCAGGGCAGCTCCCAATAAACCAGCCTGCATCATGGAATCCTCTGTCTAAGTCAGGAATTTCTCATTTCAAAACTCCCTCAGAGTTATATTCTAAGACTTGTAAAGTACTAAGTTATACAGCTTATAGAACTCTCTAGAGAAATGATTATTGTTATAAAATCACTTGAGAAGAAATTTCCCGCATGTGATGTCAGCAACATGTAAATGTTCATATCATACAGCTTTTCTGTATCTGTATCGGTATAGCCGGTATAACCGCCCTTCGGCGTAACACACCAGCTAATGCCTTTTCTTGGGCATTCAGGAAGATATGAAAAGGAGAATTTCACAGGAAGATACCTGAGTGTGGGCATTACTCCCGGATAACTACAGAATAGGTGGGAGGTCGTGTTGGGGGAACTTCACAACTCAGCAAGTCTAAGGCCTGTGTTGATGGGCGTTACGGTCCACCGGTCCACAGCTTTGAAGTCCCCCGGCACACCCTCAGGTGTACGTTAGGTGTGAGGTGATATATGTACTGTACATGGGAGGCCGTGTTGGGGGGACTCAGCATTGGTGTAAATGATTCTGCTTCTATCTGTGCAGATGACTTGGTAGGTTTACAGACATCAGTACAAGTACACATGAGATGGGAACTGTAGCTGCTGTGTTGATGGGTTTATGGTCCATGGCTTTCAAATCTGAGCTACCCAAATGGGTTCAACCTTAAACTTTTCAAGTCTAGGATGAACAAACATTCATCATCAGATTCTGTCTCTATGGTTCCTTACTGTAACCCGTTTTTGTATGAGTCTTGTTTTGAGGTAAAAATTGAAGTAGATAAAAAAAGCACACTGGTGTGAAGTGATATATGTACTGTACCTGGGAGGTCGTGTTGACGGGGTCATGGTTCATGGTTCACAGGTCGGCAGGTTCACAGATCCTGAGTTCAGGTCAATGTTGTATATACATGTATGAGCCAGGAGATTACCTATACAGTATGTAACTGTACAATGTCATGTCTTGTATATGTACTGTACATGGGAGGTCGTGTTGACGGGGTCATGGTTCACAGGTCGCTGGTCGTGTTAACATGGTCATGGTTCACAGGTTGCTAGTTTTGGGGAGTTTTTCTCCCATCAAAGCTGCCGCCCCAGTTTTAGTCCCACGTCCGTCAGCAAGGCTACATTACTGCCGGCTGCCGGGCTTCCAAACACACAGGAGTCACTAACACACAGCCATGCACCACCCTCTCAGTCCACATAGCTGGCATACAGGCGACTTTACACATCAACACGTGGACATTCTGCCTCTGTCCCTTCAGGTGACTGGGTAGGTTTACAGGCATCAGTGTAAGTACATGTGAGATGTATGAACTGTGTTGGTGGGTTCACGGTCCACCGGTTAACCATGAGCTTTCAAGTCTGCGCACACACACAGGTGTAATATTATGTAGGTGTCAAGTGATGTATGTAGTACGTCAATGAAGGTTAGACTAGCTGTCATTAGTGACTGAGATTATGTAGTACTGTGCTTCCAAGTTAATGGTACAGGTTAACACCCTGGAGTTAAGACCATCTGTATCAGTATAGCCAGTATAACCGCCTTTCGGCGTAACACACCAGCTTCGCAGGCACGCGGCGCAGCGGCAGCCGGCTACATCACACCGAACGACTTGTTACACCTAATCTGTGCACATTTGATTGCAGGAGTTGTTTAAGGCTTTCTAGTCATGATGCCCCAACTGTGCTTGATGGCAAAGAGTTCCAGTCTACGATAGTTCTGGGGAAATACGAGTGCTACCATGCGCACAGTAGCACTGGTTCAACACCCGTGAGTACAGTTGTGAGTCTGCCAGAGCAGAGCTCAGCTTGGCAAGTGCACAAAGAAGATTCAGTCACACAAAACATCACACAGTCTCACATTCCTCCTGCACAGGACAAGAACGGTTGTATACAAGCTACTGTAACTCAGCGTGCACACAGGAGATAACACTACAGCATGTACATAGTGTGTGGTGCAGGGTCAATACCCGGCCAGGAATAGTCTGCCAGAGCTCAGCTTGGCAAGTGCAAAAAGTGAAGGAACACATAACATTCCTCCCAATGACTGAAATCTGGCAAGTTGCACAAAGCACATTTTGTACA